AACACAGCATAATTATCTTTCAAACATAAAATATACTTTTCTGAAACTTTATTTGAGGAAGATTATCTGATTTAAAGTTTAATTAATCTCACTTAAAAACAAATGTTACTTTTCCTTTTTACACATAGGTGAGTGTTTATATGATACATATATCCATAAAACAATGTTTGCGAGAAGGATGAAAGAAAGAAAAGAGGAAAGATGAGAAACGAAAGAAAGAAAGAATGGAAAATTTAAGAAAAAAAAAAAGAGGAAAGACATGAAAACAAAAAAAAAAAAAAAATTTGTAAAAGAACAGAGCTGGTGCAGAGATATCGTGACCACCCCCAGAATCTATGATACGGGCCCCACCACTCTATTACATCGCAATTTTCATAAGGTGATATTCACATAAAATACAAAAGTTATTCATTGTAACCAGTGCCAGCTTAAGGTACTGGCAACTCGGGCAGTCGCCCTGGGCGCCATCATGCCGCCATGTTATGTGCTTGGGATCTTCCCAAACTAAAGCTTATAAAAAATACTTGCGGTCATCCATGACTCAAGAAATTAAATTCTTTGGCTATTTTGTCAATAGAAAATGATCCTGTAAAGAAGAGAGATGTAAGTGGTATGAAAAGATTTGCTGATCTAAAGGCTAGAAAAAATGTTTTAGGTAGAATAATGTATGTTTTCTTTAGCTTCTTATTAAGTTGTATTTTGTAATAAACTCGTTATTCTACAATTTAGTTACCCTTCTTATGAACATTTTAAAGAAATTATACTTGTAAAGAAACCGATACGTTCATCAGTTGTTCAACGTCAGCCATTTTGCAGGACTAACATATTTCTCTGCAGTCTTAATGTTATATTTCTCAGGTTAGTGATTTTTAATGTTTTTAAATAATAATAATAATAATTAGTAGTAGTAGTAGTAGTAGTAGCTGGAGCCCTAGGATTGGTTGAAAAAGATTCCAGTAGACGCATTGAAGGGATTCCTGGAAGTCCATGCCTCAAAGAGATACAAAAAATTGTTCTAACAATTACAGCCCACACTTTTCGAAGGGCTTTATCTATGTAATTTTTTTTTTTTTTTTTTTTTGGCAGTGGAAAGTGTCATGATGCCATTTCTAACCTTAGGTCCCTGAAATGTGTAAACGCCAGAAATCAAAGGAAATAAAAATAATAAGAATAATAATATAGTGATTTAGATCAGGGCTAGTGTAAGGGTCTCGTGCCCCACTAAAATCTATGATACCGCACCCCACACTACTACTTTCATAAGGCAGTATTCATATAGGGGGAGGCACGGTGGAGTAGTGTATAGTGGCTCGGATTGAGGAATCAGAGAGCCAAGTTCGAATTCTAGTCAAATCCATTACATTCACATACGTGCTAATACCATTGGAAAAGGTATGAATCCTCTTCTTCCCCCCAGCTATGGGTAAATAGCAGGACAGACCGGGTTCTATAACCTTGGATAGCAACTAGTCTACCGCAGAAAGAAATAGCAACCTACTGCGGGAAAAATCTGCCTTGTGAGTCATGTATTGAAAGATACATGATTGCCTAAGCGTGTATCACGTATGGCAAATAACTGAGCATTCATATAAAATACAAATTTTATTGTAACGTAATTATGTACAATAATGGATCATATGCAATGTAGGCGAACAATTCAAGTAGAAAATTTGAAAATAAATACAAATTAGAGACATGTCATAATAGATCATTCCATCTTTTAAAAAAATCAACAATGTTTTGCGGCAATTTTTAACATAAACTTGAGATTTGTTAAAAAGTTTAATAGTTTCAACAGATTCAACATTATGAATATTTTTTTTTAACTTAGCAAAACAAATTCACGGATTTGAACGAAAAAAAAAAGACCTGAGAATGATGTCAAAAGCCGCGAAACTTTTTCATCATTTAAGTTTAATAATAGTTGTGCTTCGTTTAATTTCAAACATATATAAATGTAGGTAGAAAAAAGAAAATGTTGATAAGATAGCGAGGGTCGCAAAGCACAGCCCGAGTTCGCCAATCAGGCTCCCTCACCCCAGGTCGGGGAGGTCGGGGTAGTTCGCGCCGGCCCTGTATAGGAAGAAAGAAGGCAAACAGAAGAAAAGAAGAGAGAGAAGGTGAGAATAGGTAATGTTTAAAGACAAAGAAGAAAAAAACAGAACGTCAACAAAATCGTGGCTAAAGCTGAATAATGCTAAGAATGCTTAAGAAGGAGGCAAATCGGGTGAAGAAGATAGAAAAAAAGAGGAAGAAAAATAAGATGAAAAAATAAGACGAAGAAAAAAAGAGGAAAAAAAGACGAAATAAAAGAGGAAGAAAAAAGATGAAGAAAAAAAATCGTCGAAAAAACGACGAAGAAAAAAAAAATCGACGAAAAAAGAGGAAAAAAAGAGGAAGAAAAAAGACGAAATAAAAGAGGAAGAAAAAAAAGGAAGAAAAAAGACGAAATAAAAGAGGAAGAAAAAAGACGACGAAAAAAAATTCGACGAAAAAGACGAAGAAAAAATAAAATGAAGAAAAAAAGACGAAGAAAAAAATTCGACGAAAAAAAAAAAAAATTCGACGAAAAAAAAAAAAATTCGACGAAAAAAAAAAAAGACGAAGTAAAAAAGATGAAAAAAAAGACGAAGTAAAAAAGATGAAAAAAAAAAGACAAAGAAAAAAATCTCTAGTACTTATTGGCTCTTTAACCACAACCCACTCCTTGATTCTTCCAGCACAGAAATAACAAAACGAAAGGGTTTTGTTTAATGAGAAGTGACTTAGCATTTCACTGCATTTGGATGTCTAAACAACAGTCAAAGCCCAAGACTGGCGGCTCAGTGGCTAGAGAAAGGGAATGGTGCAAGAGAGTTTTGAAGTTCAATGCGAGGTGGCGTGTTGACGGAAGCGATTTAAGAGATCAAAGCAAAACAACGTTCAGGATAAAATTACCATTTCAAATTTTCACTTTCCGAAACAAAAATGTTGAAAGCTATTGAACAATTTATTTCGACGCCACGCCATGTTGTTAGCACGTTTCGTAAACCATCACGTCTTTGGAGAACGTCTGACATGAGCAAGGCCATATCGTACAAGAGAAATGTCATAAGGTACGCTAAGTTAAACGAAGGAGAAATCTGTCTATATTTCTGAGATGAGGTATTATGTACACTATTTACATTATTCGGACTATTGTCCTCATCTTTGTCGCCATATTTATTACAACGTTTCGGCCGTTGTACGCTCCGGCCTTCTACAGTATCTGTCTATATTTCTGAGATGAGGTATTATCTACACTATTTACATTATTCGGACTATTGTCCTCATCTTTGTCGCCATGTCCTCAAGGACAGATGGCACAATGGGTAAAGGCGTTAGTTAGATCCAGTGACAGGATTCAAAGAGTGTGAGTTCAATACCTGGTTAAGGCAGTTGAGAAATTTCAGAGGGGAATTAACAGGAGATAACTGACATCCATTAGACATGGCACGTGGAACTAGAACAGTCTACCCCAGTGTGCGAAACAAAGGGTTCAGTTCGACATTCCAACCACCTGAAGAAGGCCGGAGTGTACAACTGCTGAAACGTTGTGATAAACATGGCGACAAAGATGAGAACAATGGTCTGAATAATGTAAATAACAGAAATCTTATCTTCGGTTTGTGGACACGGAAATGTCCGAGAGAATTTTTTATTTTATTTATTCAATTAGTAGTAATAAATTGATATTCTTTACTTTGTTCTATGTTACAATTCAGAGCTGAATTTTGAGTAGATGTGTATCTCGATTTTACAAAAAAAAAAAAAAACGATGATTTACATTCTTCAAAGTTTTCTGTTCTCTTAAGTAATATAATCACAAAAAGGTACGTCGTCGAATTTCTCGAGTTTTCATAAAATTAACAAGGAGAGGAGTAGGTAACAGACGTAAAAAAATTATTTTTACCATGATTTTCTAAAATAAACAAAACAAAAAAAAAAACGACTAAAATAATTTCATTCATGATGTGACGGAATGACATGCGACCCCCATCTGTGGTCAGCCACGCCTGATTTTTGACTAAACTCATAGTGAGTTTTACGACAATAAAATATGCTTAAAAATTTCCCTATTGCATCGTTAAATATTTGAGCTTTAACAAAATATTTCAACAACAATTATAAATATCTTTATTTTAAAAAGTGGGTACAAATTTGAATTAATAAATTTAAAACAAAAACAGTGTTTACTCTTAACATAATCATTTTCTTTTTTTTTTTTTTGAATTATGACAGAACAACGTTTTTAATTTTTCCCCCAATTTGCATCAATAAATTTAAAATAAAAACAGTATTTAAAGCAACGGTCGCCAAACTTCAATGAGTCCAGGTCAAATAAATTCTTAAAAAATGAATCAAAAATGTACCTGGTAAGGCGACATTGACATCTATTTCATGCCACTCACGCACACACATCACAACTCCCAAATGAAAGAAGAAAAGAGTAAGTGAAAGAAAGAAAGAAAGAAAGAAAGAAAGAAAGAGTAAATGAAAAAGTGAAAAAAGAAGAAAAGAAAGAGTATGTGGACGAAAGAAAGAATAAGTGAAAGAAAGAAGGAAATGAAGAGTAAGTGAAAGAAAAATGAAAGAAAGCGAAGTAAGAAAGAAAGAGTAAGTGAAATAAAGAAGGAAAGAAAGAATAAGTGAAAGAAAGAGTAAGTAAAAGAAAGAAAGGTTAGTGAAAGAAAAAGTGAAAGAAAGAAGGAAAGAAAGAATAAGTGAAAGAAAGAAGGAAAGAAAGAGTAAGTGAAAGAAAGAAAGAGTAAATGAAAAAGTGAAAAAAGAAGAAAAGAAAGAGTATGTGGACGAAAGAAAGAATAAGTGAAAGAAAGAAGGAAATGAAGAGTAAGTGAAAGAAAAATGAAAGAAAGCGAAGTAAGAAAGAAAGAGTAAGTGAAATAAAGAAGGAAAGAATGAGTAAGTAAAAGAAAGAAGGAAAGAAAGCGAAGTGAAAGAGAGAAAGAAGGAAAGAGTAAATGAAAGAAAGAGTAAGTGAAAGAAGGAAAGAAAGAGTAAGTGAAAGAAAGAAAGAAAGAAAGAAAGTGTAAATGAAAGAAAGAAAGAAAGAAAAATTGAAAGAAAGAAAGAAATAAGGAATGAAAGGAAGGACTCGTAAAACAAGTATTTGAAAGAACAACAAATGATTAATGAGGTGTTTATTATTTTAAAATTCCCAAAAAACTATTGGTCTCCCCACAGTCTGTACCAAAACCCATACAGGAAAATCTCTTTTGTCTGAAAACATTCTTTGAGAACTGTTAAACGTTATTTGAACAGTGAACTGAATGTTAATAAATACAAATGTCTCCACTTGTTAGTCAAAATGTTTTGTACTCATAGTTTTAAAAATTAACTTGACAAAAATACAAAATATTCAAAAAAACAAAACAAAAAAAAACAAACTCTCCATGTACTAATTACCATAAATATCTCGTTAATTTGACAAATGATTCGCCTTCGGTTACAGAAAGAAAATTACATTTTAAATTAAATTGATGTCGATGTCTACTTGGTATCGACCAACGACAAATTCCTGTTACTGTGTCACAACTGTTTATATGCAATGTAACGCTTTTCAAGGAAACTTTTAGTGGCGTCCCTGATGTGCACAGGTGGGAAACTGTTATGATGTTAATTTGGGGTTAAAGACAAACGCCACATAACATGTAACAATAAAATGGGGTTTATTCGGTTGGTAAGTTGGTACAGATATCGCCTGAGTAGTCTATAACTAACTCAGCTCAGAACTTCGGTATTTATCATTTCACCCACGGGAAACGAATATGGCACAAGGCCGGTTTTATTGTGGGTTTCTCCGAGCCCATAGGCTCGGCCAAAAAAATAGCCTTTTGAAGCCGATTAGACGGGTTCAGGCCCTGTCTACCTCCCCGGACGAAACCTTACCCTTCGGCAAAGCCCCGTCCGGGTTCCTCTCTGCTAACGCAGAGAGTTCGACAGACGTCGGAAGTCAGCTCAGAACTTCTACACTGTCTTTTGACATGCCACTAGTTAACGTCCTTGTTTGTAGACGAGTTCATCTTCAAGAGGGGTGGTAGGTTCCTACACAACAGAAAGTTATTGCGTCCTTTAAGATTTTTATGCATCAGGTTAATTAGCATCTCTGGGACCAAGGAAAAGCGATACCTTAGGCTTAAAATGCATTTTTGAAAAAGAAAAATCTTTTTTAACTTAAAAGCTAATAAATTAAATTTAATATTTTCAATAAGCAAAATATTTTGCTGTATTTCAAACTGAATTTAAATTGATAGGAATGATTTTTTTTTTATTCCCAGTAAAAACGCTAAAATAGTCCATACTGACAAATTTGTCAGCACAATGAAATTCTCTTTATTGAAAAATCTTTTAAAAATAAAATATATTTTTCTGAAACTTTATTTGAGGAAGATAACAGAAAGTTTCTGATTTGAAACAAGTATATTATTTAGTTTAAAATAACACAGAAAAGCATTTTTAATACGGACATGGGTATTTTTATGAAGTAATGACAACTATCTCGTCAGACATGTTTGGATTTTTTTTTCTAAGTTGGCATAACTGTAACGATTATTTAACGAATACAACATAAACACCCTTTTTATATATTTTTAAAAGTAGTCTTAAAAATTTAATAAAATATTCTAATTGTAATATTTTCTTAAATTTTAAGTACTTCATAGTCTTACTTACGTAGGCGTCTGTTGAGGAAAAAAGTTACCAATAAATTTTACATTTAATATAGTTACCTCTCTTTTTTTCTGATAATGTCATGTTTGGACATCCGTATTTACAACATTCGGCATGTTTTTATACTCGCACAAAATATATTCAATTTTTTTTTTTTAAATTGACGAATTATAATAAGCTTTTCCATTTATGATTAAAATACAGTATTTATTTAATAACAATATCACTTGACCGATACAAAATAATACAGAATTTTAAAAGATTTATAAGTTTCTAAATTTTTTATTAGAATATTTTTTTTTAATTAGGATATTAAAAAATTATTCTAATAAAAAAAAAAAAACGAAAACAATTCTTTTAAAAAGTTCATTTTTATCGAATTTGAACGAAAATAAGTTTTTCTGATTAATAATGTCTTCGTTTTATTGCATTTTTAATTTTACGATTCAGAGCAAATTTTCTCTAACTCGCGGTTTTTTTCCCCCCCAAGTTTACGAGGATATGTGGGGAAAGATAGCGGTTAACCATTGACTTGTGAACAGGTCATGATTGTAAGGCTCAGGAAAGCATACCCCCGGGAGCCTGTTCGGCAAAGTTAGCCTGTTCGTGGGAAGAAACTCTTCAAGTCTTCTGACTAACAGAAGTAGAAGAGAGAAATTGACAAATGAAAGACCAACGCACCCCCTCACCACCACCACCAAAAAAAAAAAAAAAAAAAAACAATGACAAAAAATATTATTTTGATATAAAATCATAATCTCTTATTTGCAGAATGGATATCCAAATTCATCACCTCATTTTCCGACAAGTGTATACTTTCATTTTTGCTGGTGTGAAGGAGACAGGTGAGAGAAATGGGTCGACATGAATGCGTAGAGCTCACGGTGGGAGGATGGTGTTAACACTGAGGTGGGTGGCTGTCAGGTTAGTTGTGGGTGGTTCTTAAAAGTTGACAGATACTAATCTTTTTATCAGGATCGCTTCTTCCGACAACCCCTTCCCCCACCAGTGCTAGCCTGAAGGGCTTGTCACTTATCCGTATATCTAGTTATATATGAACAAAATAACCTTTTTTTTTTTTTTTTTTTAGATCTCCGCCCACTTGCCTTTAGGGTACTAACCCACCTCTGCACTTGTTTTTTGGGACAGCCATCAACTACAACTAAAACGCCCTCTAGCCACTTATCTAACTTAGCTGTCTCCTCCATACCCAACACTTGCACCTCCCCATCTAGGAGGTGGGGGAATAGAGTGATTCTCTACGTTTTTTTACACTTCACCCACCCACGTCTACACCTTTACACCTTTTACTGATCTATGACACTTTTTTTTTACGTTTCCCCCCTCTCCCTTTGCTTTATTTTCTTTTTTTTTTCAGCTTATTTCGGGGTTTTATTCCCATGCAAATGCAGTTGGAGTCATCTTAAGACAGAAAGGAAGAGAAAAAAAGAGAGGAAGAAATAAGGCAGAATAAGAGAGAGGAGGAGGAGGGGAGAGAGAGAGAGGGGGAGAAGAAAAGAGAGGAGAGAAGAGGAGGAAAAGAGAGAGAGAGAAGGAGAAGAAAAGAGAGGAGAGAGAGGTAGAGAGAGAGAGAGAGAGAGAGAGAGAGAGAGAGAGAGAGAGAGAGAGAGAGAGAGAGAGAGAGAGAGAAAAGAATCAGTGAGAGATACTAGAATCCAAAACACAGATAGAAATGAAAAAAAAGAAATTAATGTGCAGAGTGAGAGGAGGAATAATGAATAAGAGAGGCAGAACGGGGGAGAGAGACAGTGAAAGAGGAGGAAGAGGAGGAGGAAAGAAAGAAGTTGAGAAGAGACAGAAAGATAGATAGAAAACGAGAAAGAAAGAGAGAGAGAGGAAGAAGAGGAGGAGGAAAGATTAACAGAAGTTGACAAGAGACAGAGAGATGGATAGAAAACAAGAGAGAAAGAGAGAGAGAGAGGAAGAGAAGGAGGAAACAGAAGTTGAGAAGAGACAGAGAGATGGATAGGGAAGAGAGAGAGAGAGAGAGAGAGAGAGAGATAATAAAGCCTGAAAAAGAGAGAAAATGAAGAAAGTGAAGTTAAGTTCCAGAATGAGCGAGGAATACTGAGCAAGAGAGAGAAACCTGACATTGAATTCAGAGTTTTCCTTCTCTTAGACTGGCTGGCAACCAAGACTACAGATCCCAGTCTATCCTGCTATCTAACTCATAGCTGGGGAGGAGGGAGATCAGATTGGATCATGCCTTTCCCAACAGCTTTTGAGTGAAAGTGAATGCAACAGACTAGGCAGGAGTTATGAACTAAGCTTGCCATTTCCCCGTTCATCATCAATAATGTTTATGCTATCTGTACATCCAATTAGGAAAGAGAGAGATAGAGAGTGATAGAGATAGATAGAGAGAGAGATAGAGATAAAGAGGGGTATTTTGCATGTCTGTTGATAATACTTGACCCAGCAGTTATTGACTATTGGACATTAGTATATTTATAAAAGAATTGGTGTCGGATGAAAAGAAAATAACGAAAACTAAATAGAAGCTTCTGTGAACATCAATTTCAAATATGATCTTAATTCAGAACAGCTTTGTGAACTATTGTCCTCATCTTTGTTGTTGTTGATCTGTAGTTTTGGTTGTCAGCCAGTCTAGGAGAAGGAAAACTCTGAATTCAATGTCAGGTTTCTCTCTATCATTGTGCCCACCAGACTTCATTAGATGTATGTTGATCCAGGTAAATTTAAGCGCAGTACAATACTGGCGATGAGGTCTCACCAATCTACAGTTGAGCTGGCTAGATAGATGTAGCCGTAGATTCTATGCTAACACTTTCTTTTCTCGCACTTCTCACTTGTGGAAATCCCTTCTGTCTCCATGCTTTCCAGCCAACTTTAATCTGCAAAAATTTAAATGTAATGTCAATTGCTATTTACTGTCCTCCTGATTACTCTTTCCTCTTCCGGCTCATCATTATTGTTTCTGTTCCTAATTCTTCCACACCCAATAACCCCTTGTGTGTTAGTGGCTTTACTACCTTGCTTGTGGAACTCCCTTTCAGCTCCATGCTTTCCAGCCAACTTTAATCTGCAAAAATTGAAATATAATATCAATTGCTATCTACTGTCTCCTCCTGATTACTCTTTCCTCTTCCTGCTCATAATTAATGTTTCTGATCCTAATTCTTCCACACCCGGTAACCCCTTGCATCTTAGTGGCTTTAATGCCTTGCTTGTGGAACATTCTTCCGTCTTCATGCTTTCCAGACAACTTTAATCTGCAAAAATTTAAATGCAATGTCAATCGCTATCTACTGTCTTCCTGGTTACTCTTCTTCTTTTCTCATTCCTTAGCAATCTTCCTGTTTCTAAGTCTTCCAGTAACACCTTGTGTTTCGGTGGCTTTACAACCTTGTTTGAGTGAACTTGATTAGAAAAAAAAACAAACAAAAAAAAACCATAGAGAATTCCAAACCGAACCCTTTATTTAATCTACATGGATAGACAGTTCTTTTTCTACTGTTCATGTCTAAGGATATCGCATCTTGTTCCTATTTTTAGTACTACCCAGTTATTGCTTTATTTTTATTGATTCCAAGTACACATTGCCCGACCTAGGGATTGAACTCACGATTACAATGCCACCAAATTTAAAAACCAATGCTTTAACCCAATAAGCTATTGTCCCATGGGCAGATAAAGAAGCTTTAAGAATAAAATGAAAATAACAAAAAGGACACTGTGAATAAAGGTATTAGTTGGATCCAGTGACAAGACCCAAAGAGTATGAGTTCAATACCCGGTTAAGGCAGTGGAGAACTTTCAGAGGGAAATTAACAGGAGATAACTGATAACTGACATCCATTAAACATGGCACATGGAACTAGAACAGTCTACCCCAGTGAGTGAAATAAAGGGTTAAGTTCGACATTCCAAGCACCTGAAGAAGGCCAGAGCGTACAACGGCCGAAACGTTGTAATTACAATAGCGATAAAGATGAGGACAATAGTTCGAATAATGTAAATAATGTACATAATACCTCATCTCAGAAATATAGACAAAAACAAAAAGGAGATTGGGTTTAAAGCAGGTCAGATCTAATGAGGGTTTCCCCTGCAAAGGAGGATGGAGGTTCAACTCCCCCTGGATAGTGCATATTTTTCTGTAATAATACATACCAGGTGTAACATCAAAATTGTGCAAATTGTGTAACAGCATAATTATCTATGGCACAAAATATTTAATATCTAAAAAAGACTAAACTAATTGAGTTTTTTTTTTCTCCAGGTTTTCAGATAAGACATTTAGCCATCTCGAGATCATTCGTCATAAGAATCACTGAAAAACCCTTTGAGTTATTCAGCAAGAAAGAGAACAAGTTAAAATCATTTTGTGTCACCTCTACTGTCTTCTCAACTGAGCAATGGTGGCCTTCAGTAATGGCACCAACATTCATACTCTGGTTTCCATCTTCAAAGTCCATTCAAGGACCATCAAGAGAATGGTGAATAAGTTTTAAAAAAGAGGGAACAGTAGAAAGGAAAACTGGATCAGGAGGTCACAACAGGAAGTGGGTCATCATTTCAACTTAGAGTCAAAGAGATAAATTAGAAAAGATCCAACTCAATCCATAAGACATTTGGCACGTGAAAGAGGAGTTTCAGCCATGATGGTTCAAAGAGTAGTGAAAAGAACTTGAAAATGAAATTGTACATAAAACATGTGAGACACCTTGCTACTCGAGGACAGAAAGAAGGTTAGAAATGGTGAAGATCATCTTGAATAAGTTGGAAAATGATCCTGGTATAAGATATATATATATATATATTTTCAAGATCTAAAAGGTCAGCCAATCTAACAGTGATCGCATTCCACTATCCTCACTCTTGTACCATATGTGGCCTCCTTTGTAAATCACCAACGGGTCTTAAGTGCCACTTAAGATTATTGCACAAAATTTCATAACTGAATCAACTAAGCTGTCAGATCTTCATACGTCGAAACTGACGGGAGAGTCCATATTATATATATATATATATATATATATATATATATATATATATATATATATATATATAGGGACTTTATTTCAATCCTTCATGAGCTTCTGATCATTAATGATGAACATGTCATTTTTGTTTATGATTGATTTCATCACGGTTCTTTTGTTAAGCTTGGCAAGTAATTATACATTCTTATTGCTCAAAGTAGAGTCCAATAATGTTATAAAAACCTCATAGAATTCCAGTAAGATATCTTTAATCATTTCTAAGATACAACAGTTCAAAGTTTAATCTAACAATTGGACAATTTTGCTGTTACCCCCACCCCATATATAATTTTTCTAATTCTAATATATATATACATTAGAATTAGAAAACTTTTTGGGCAGGTGAACTGTTTTTACTATTATGGTTCGCATTCAGATGTCTGGTTTACTTGCTTATGTATATATACATGCACACACACACACACACACACACATATATATATATATATATATATATATATATATATATACATACATACACACACTGGCTCTAATATGCATATATGTGTGCATGTATCTGTGTGTATATATGTATGTGTGCATGTGCATTTATATATATATATGTACGCAAACAAACCAGGCATCTCAATGTGACCCATAATATCAGGTAAAACAGCACACCCCATAGAAAAATGACTCTAATACATATATTATAAGGTTATGTGACTGTGTATGCATGTGTATATTGTGCCCAGGTGTATATGTGAGAGCACATATACATATATAAGTGTGTACAGGTATATAAGAAATAATTGTATGCATGAATATGCGTATACAGGTATAATATATATATATATATAACTGAGAAAATAAGAATGAGAATATATAATGATGAGGTTGAGGAGTGAAATTGTTTATATCTATCAACCTTCTTACCCACCTACCTATCTATCTGTGGTGGGGAGGAGGGGCCTGATGAAAGGGTAAAGTGCCAGGGACTGACCGAACCTGAGCTTCATCTGAGAGGATCATGTCAAATCACTTTGTTAAAATGATAGACATGTTTAGGGTTTCATTGTCCTCGGGGCACTGGGCAGGAGATGTCATCAGTGGCTCCCACCCAATGAATGTACTGGCGTGGGGAGGCGGGGCACCAGCAGTGTTTTGATTGTTTTGTTCTTTTTTCTCCTTCTTTCTGTCATAGCATAAATGCCTCCATGAGATGGCACCCCCCAACTCTGAACAACCACCTTAAGTGTAGGTTGGTTGTTTGAGCACAAACTATTGTATCCCAAGGATTTTATATTGGTGGGGAGACAACTTGTTAATGGCTGGACAGGTCAGCAAAAGTGGGGTTGTTGGAGCAGGGGAGGAAGGGGATATTATCTCCCCCTCCCAACACACTAGTGATTCCATGCCTTATCTAACCATTGTACAACTGCTGATTAATGTTCTGTAAATAAATTTGTTGACCATCTTTGATGTCAGACAGCTTTTAAGGTATTTAAGTTGTAAGTAATTTCCATTTCAGGGGTGGGGAACCAACCTGTAACGATGAAAGTATCTTGCTAATTAATAATTGTACATGGCAGTTTAGAAAACACTTTAGGGTACACTAAATTTCAATGAAGTAAAATCAGCAGCTGTTTACGAAAATGACCTACAATATGTTGTTAACTAGGGCAAGAAATGTCTTCAGCATTTGTCTATATTTCTGAGATGAGGTGTTGTAACTATTTACATTATCTGGATTGTTGTCCTCAACTTTATTGTCATATTCTCAACAATTCTCCATTATACACTCCGGCCTTCTTCAGGCGATATACGTTGGGGGTAGATTGTTCTAGTTCCACATGCCATGCCTTCTCTTGTATATCTCAGTTTCGGTTAATTCCCTTTAATAACTTCACTCTCCAATTTTTTATTCACCTCTGCTGTGGCCAGGTATTGAACTCACAACTCTTTGGGTCAAGTCACCTTTTGTCCTTGGCGGCAATAAAAGTTTTGGTTGAAGTAATCCAAAAAGTAACTTTAATTCTGAGTTCATTACCAGGCCATGTATATATATGTATATATATATATATATATATATATATATATATATGTCGGATTAAGAATTAATATATATATATATATATATATATATATATATATATATATATATATATATTGTCATAGATCCTCATCTGGCATTAATATGGTGATGGGGGATACAACCAGCACCAGGCTAAGATCAATGTATTCTGCACGATGATTCGTTTATATCTTATATTCCCCGAGTAACCTTTTGTTATGGGATCACTGAATAAATATTAGGGTTATTTCCCTTACATCATTAAATCATCAGCAGATAATGTAAAAAGAAAAGAAAGTAGGCGAAGTCCAACTCAATTATGGTCTAATTGAACTGGGCTTCCCCGGGTTCTTGGAATAACACATTCAACCGACCGGTGACCATAAATGAACGAAACAACATGGTGAACAAAATAATATTTAATTAACAAGAGCATGTATGTGGCAACGACAATAAAGACATTATATCATGTGAGCTACAATGTATATTTAGTTGGAATACGACAAATATTAACGAATGCAATGTTTCACACATATACAGGAGTATAGTCTCAAATGTCTGGTTTTACGAACATGGAAAGGTGTGTGCAAGAACATAATATTATTGGGTGTTTGCGAATCATGGTAATACTGGGGGTTTCTAGGATATACACTTATCTGAGATATGCATTTATCGACCAAAAGCAATAATAGTCTCTTTTCTTGTATTCTTGATTCAGCGACTGGAGCTTTAGGGTTTCAACTGGGATCACATTCTTTGCCTTATATTTGTATTTCAGGATTTCTTCTTAAGGCAATGATCTCCGAGGAGTTCAGGCCAATTGTGTCTGGACTATCTTCACATTCTTGGCATTTGAGTGGCTGGTCTGCTTTTCTGCCTCTGGGAATGTGTTGTCTCAGCGTGCAACCTTGGACATAGACGTTGTCGTGACTTATCATCTACTGGTCTCTCCAATAAAGCTGCTTTCTTTTTACTCTCCACATGCGCGTCTCCTTTTTGGTGGCTAATTTTCACGACTGTTGATTGGCTGCTTTTGACCAATCGCATTGTTTCTTTTATATGCTATCTTACTTGAATCTATTTTTAGACTTCGCCTACCTGTGTTTCTGTGTGTGTCTACTTTGGGTTCTGTTGTGGGAGTAGGGAATAACGTATATGTGTGGGTTTGCATTCGTCACAATATATATATATATATATATATATATATAAAGTAATATATCAAATCAGAGCAATTAATTTAATTTAATGAAAACAAACAACTTTAAGGGTCCATGGTTCTAATTTATTTCTCCAGGGAGTTTCTTTTTCCCTGGATCATCAGACCTCACTTCCAAGGATGAAAAAATGAATTTAAATTTACATATAATTTTTTACATTTTTGAGGGGTAGTGTTAAGTTGAAGTAAGGTGATATAGAGAATGGTGAGAGATAGTGTGACAGACATGGTCAAAATTAGAGAGGGAAGGGAGAGATAGGAATGCATTTAAATTTATTTTTATTACAATACTTAAGAGTGATATATATATATATATATATATCAATTAGCCTCAAGCAAGTTGTTAATGCCAGTAAGATGCAAGGGGGCTACTAGGAGTGAAAGAGAAGGAAATACTTTAGAAGGAACTGGAAACCCAATCCTAAACATGAAACAATGGATAAGCCTCTACAACTTTTAAACAGGCCTGGGAGGAATGTGACTAAAACCTTATGGTCTTATGGGAGATAAATTAAGAAAAATGATTCATAGAGAACTAAAAAGCTTAAATCTTAAGGTTAAGGTAAGTACTAATGTTAAACAAGTAGATTTTCTAGGTTTGTTTATTTATTTTTTATTGTTTGTTTATCTAGATTTTCTTGTTTGTTTATTTATTTGGTTTAATTTATTGAACTTGTTTTTCATTTTCATTTTGTATTATTCTTTTCAGCTTTTGATATTTTATTAACATAGTAAAAAAATTTGGGTTGTGGGGGGTGTGCTTAGGCTACTTATTTAATAGTTTGTTTTAGTCTGGGAAAATAAAGCTATTTATTCGTCAAATGTTTAGATTGCTTGCTGTAGTCTAGCTGAGGAAAAATCCAACATTTTCGGCCTGACGATTGCATCTAGCATGAAACAGTCTGTCACCTTTGAGTGTTGACTTCAATGTTCACTTTTATATTTATATTTACATATGCTCTATCTCTGATATTGAGCACTTTATCCCATAAATATAGCACACCTTAAAACTATATTTCTTCATATATATATATATATATATATATATATATATATATATATATATACACACACACAAATATATATTTTTCTTCATATATGTGCGCAGGTATGTAGAAAAATAGGAAAGAACACGTTAGGTAAATAATCCAGGGTTCCTTATTACTTTTGTTTTTATTTTTAAAAAACAGTGCTCCATACAGAAGTAGAGCTTAGATTATAATTATTTTTTTAAAAATATGATTCCTTTGCTACATAAGAGTTCACATGTTTCAAAAACGAGAGCCGAAAACCATCAATATAATTATTAAAATTAAATTAAATTAAAGTAACAAGCCCTGTTTCATCCTCAAGCGAAACTTTAGGAATAACCCATTTTGAAGTTTACATATCGTTATAAGCTTGTTCATTCGTTACTATGGAAACGGCTGAGGCGACCATTTTTGATAAGGGGCCTAAGAGTTAATTTTTATTCACATATCAGTCACCTTCAGGGAGAGGTCAAGCTGAGGTAGGGCAGGGTGTCTATTTCAAAGCGAATGATGTCTTTCTTGTATGCGCATCGTCTGTTTATTCACAGAGCAAGATAGATTTTGGCACCATAGTATGTTGTTAAGTGTATGGATAATTTTGTTTTATTTATTTATTTTCAACGGGCTGTTCCATATATAAACGCATCGCACTGAACTGCAATTTGTTTTTTTGACGACTTCATAAAGGGTTTTTCCCATATTGATGTGGGTAAATGCTTAATTATAGATGGAGGGTGGTTTGACATTATATATATATATATATATATATATATAGATAGATAGATAGATAGATAGAGAGAGAGAGAGAGAGAGAGATGAATGAAGAATAAAGAAGGGCAATAACTTACGTAATACAGTCAGCGTAAAATTGAGAGTGACACTTCCATAGCCGTTGGTTGCTTTACAATTGTAATATCCTGTATCTTCTCCTTCAATTTCCTTTATACGCAGACCTGTGTCCACCACCTTAAATCTTTCCCAGCCACTGTGTATAGGTTGGCCTTCTTTTGACCATTCCATGATGGCTGGAGGGTCGGCCACTACTGGACATGGGATTTTGTAGTTCTTACCAATATAAGCAATCAGTTGTTTGTGAGGCAAAGCCGTGCGGTTCACAAATGGAGGACCTGGAAAGAAAATAAATTCAGGTGGTTAAAAAAAAAAAAATTGACGAGATCTGTGACAAGGACCCTACAGGTTTAATTAGAAAAAATAAACACAAAAAAAGTCATAGAACAAGGCATCTTTGGTGGGGTCTGTAAAAAGAATACCCAAGAAGAAAGAAAATACAATTTCAGCTGATGAGTGGAAAATTCTCCTAAATGGCAATCTCCTCGCATCTGAAGAAGAGACATGAGGCAACAGAGAATTGGTTCAATGGTCTAGTTACTCGATTTTGAATTTTGTCAATCTCGGAATTGTGCACTGAAAGCTGGGAAAAGGTCTGCTGCATGCTCACAATTTAACATGAGAAAAGAGAAATGCCATGTCAAGAACTAATAATATGAACTCGGTTTCCCATATAAAATAGGATTATTTTATTCAGGACTTCTTCTGTTCATCTGGGTGGGTAGATAGGACTACTTCTCTTACCCCAACCAATCCTCTCATCTATCTACACTTCCCAATGTGTGCTTGGTAATAAGAATGGATAGCATCGAAACAATGCAGTGGACAAGTCCATCTCCTGCCAAGAGCAGACCAGAGCTGAAACAGGTTCAGAACATGGCTGTTAATACAAACCCGATCCTATTATGCCCACACAACAACCTCAGTCAGCAATCCTCTATCTTGAGTGGCTCTTGGGACATGTACTGGAAAATATTTAGTAAAAAAACATAAATATAAATATGCATGGCAAAATGTTTTTTTTATGTGGCATGGGGAAAGATTTTAAGTTGAGCGGACACAAGTCAGAAATTGCATCCTGAAATTAGTCCACAACATTTTCACTGGGGTGAGATTATCTTTTGATGTGTGTGAAGGGCAAATGATCTGGAGAGCTGCTTGTCTAGTGACAGTTCCATAGAAGCCTTAGCTTAATGACCACAAGTGTATATCGGGTTGGGTTTGTATAATTTTGATCATGTCTGTCTATTTATGTCACCTGTTTCTTTTCTTCTTTCTATCTCAATCTGTTAATATCTATCTTTATATTTCAGTTTGTTGTCTGTCTACCTATTCATGCAGCTATCTATCTACCTATATAGGTCTGTAATATCTATCTATCGCAGTCTGTTAATATCTATCTATCTATCTATCTATCTATCTATCTCTGTCTGTTAATATCTATTTATCTATCTTTCTATCTGTTAATATCTATCGATCTATTTATCTATCTCCATCTGATAATATCTATCTATCTATCTATCAATATCTATCTCTCTATCTCTGTCTGTTAATATCTAACTATCTGTCTATCTATCTTCGTCTGTTAATATCTATCTATCTATCTATCTATCTATCTATCTATCTATCTCTGAGCCTAGCCTTGCTTTATTATAATGGCTTCTTATAGCTTATCATTAAAATTTTAGGCAACAAATATTTTTCAACAAAACCTCCTTCCTTGTCAATGCACTTAATTTTGATGTGAACATTACAGTGAATTTTTTCAGATAAAGTTTCAGTTAACAACTATAAGTCCGGATACACATTTATTGATCCCCCAACTTAAAAAAAAATGCATGCTTGTCATTGTATTTTTATCTGCACATTTGATGACATCGTGTGCAGGTGTAAAAAAAAAATGATACATATATAATCACTAACGCCATAAGATATACACTTGATGTCTACACAACCAAGGAAAACAAAACAGAATTTGAATACTGATACATACTGTAAACACTAACACCTTATGACAGGAGCTCTCAACCACAGAGCATGTTGGTGATGGTGGTGGGGGTTGTACTCCTCCAGGAGGAATTTTAAGGAGACAGTCAGGCAAGGGAAAAATCTACTTTTTCACAAGTTTCTCATTGACTGTAATCTTCATCCGAATAAAATCATTTTAAACACCCTAAGCTTTTATTGAACTTTTTGTTTATTGAATTACACTAACCTGGCATTGTATTGAACTATTGTTTATTGAAGAATGCTTTAGTTTATCTATATCTATAATTCTCAAAATGTGTGTTTGTATGTCTGTGTGTGTTCTCACGTTGTTTATGTGATTTTGATGAAATTTTTTTGTTTGATCAATAATTCTTCAGTGCTGGTTTTGAGTCCAAATTACACATTCCCCTTCTCTTGGCCAAACTTTCAATCTCTCTCAAGTGAGGTTACCTTTTCCGTTGCATAAAGCCTACTACTACAGTTTTAAGGCATTGCTTTCATTGTTGTTTATTGCCATTCCCAATTTAAATTTTTTTATTATCCTGCATTGCATTCACTGTAATAATAAATAAGCTTGCTTTTTTATTACTCAACATTTATTTTCCCAACGTTTCCTAAAGTTATTCAAGCTAAGTGATCCCTGTAGCTTTACAGTGTTTTTTTCCCACGCATTCCATTTGACAATTCATACTTGCCTAAGACATGCCACCAAAGGAAAGAACTTGCCTAGGTCACAAAACTGCTTCCACCAGGTCTGCCATGCAAATAAGAGATAACGAATCGTCTTTAGAATGTTCAGTTCACCCATATCAAAATGCCTCTTAGAATGCGTCAATCAGAGCCACTGGATTCAAAAATCAATGAAGCCATCGGCTTTCCAGAAGAGCATACCTGTACGCTTCTGCACATGAGGCTGAAAATGATGATCAAAGGACTCACTGACTGTGACTGCTGATCAAAAGGACTCAACAGCTGAGGAGAAACGCCTCTTCAACTGCTGCTGTGCGTGAGGCTGAAACAAGATTGAGAACTCAAAAACGGAACTTTTCAGGACCCCCACCAAGGAGTGTCTGCATCGGCAACCGGTGGCTTCTGGTTGTTCCTGTCTCTGCATCTGTGGGAACCCTGCGGCAAGCAAGAACGTTATCCGAGTAGGCCTGGGTACCCTACTTCTGTAATTTATCCCAAGAATCTTCTTCTCACAACAGGAAGAAGCCAGCTCAATCCGCCCAGGGTGAATGCCGCATCAGTACAGTACAGTAGTAGTACATATGTATGCCTGGGGTTCTAGTATAAAAAAATATTAAGCCCAAGCCCCAGGAGGTCTTCACCATCAAGCAGTACCTCTCCTTTGGGAGTGGGCTGGATTTATTGTCTGGCAGCTGAGGTGTCCCTAAAAGAAGAAGTGCCCAGGGGGCTTGAGAAATTTTTCCACAGTGTTGCTGTTAAACCCACTTTAAACCTTGACCTTGTGTCACATTCAGTAGCAACATGGATGCGCTGAAAGATAAATACTAATATGGAAAAGAATGAAATGCACCTTTTGGAATGCACATTTTGAGATGGACAATCTTGGAAAAGGGGGCAGGTGAAAAGGGTGCACAGGACAAAAATTGGTTCGGAAGCACTGCCTTAAGGTATAAACGTGACGTTAACGCAATAAAAACAAAGCATAGAATGTAATATTTGATACATGCGTAAACACAAATGCCATAAGATGTATACATATCTTCTGCACAACTAGATAATAACAAAATAGAATTTTAATTGAAACATCATCTCACATTATCTTGCTCTCCAAAATAATTGAGAAATGTTACATTTATAAGCATTTTCCTGCTTGTTCCTTATTTAATTAAACTATCAGATTTAACCCATGTTTTCAATTCATTTTATAACAGTTATAGGGGGGAAAGTGATAAGTTATGATTTGATAGTTGAGGAAATATTGTCATAATAATAAAATAAAATAAAAATAAAATATAAAAAAATAAAATAAAAATAAAAATAAAATATTGAAAAAATAAAATAAAAAATATTCATCGGAATAAAATTTATAACTTTGGATTGTAGTGACAGAAAATGTCATAGAGAAAATCTATATATAAATATATATAAATAAATGTCAATGTGTCAGTGTGTCACACTTTTTCAACTTTACTCCTAGAGGCCGTAGCCCAACATACCATTTTGGAATCAGGCCGACTCTGTGAGCAAATTAAAAACATTCCAAGCTGGATCCAGATTCGCAATCCTGAAATTATGGATTTCCAATTTTTCATTACTGTAATTGTTTTTTTAAGTGAATTTTTCCAACAATTTTTTTTGTATGATAACAATTTTAATAATTTGGAAATAAATGAAATTAATTGTGAAATATAGTGAAAGTCACCCATGAAATAAAAATAAATGTTTGAATAGAAATTAAGGATCTACATACATCAAATTGTCCTTAAAACTAAGTGGTGGCAGAAGAATTATCGTTGAACCTTTAAAAGGTATGCTTAAGTATTAATGCAATACTTAAATGCAGTGATCAATTTTGAGTTCTTCTGAAGTTTATTGTTACCTATCACATCTACACCTCCCTACCTATTGTGATGAAGGCTCAATCAAGAACCTTCCACAGGAGCTAGCTTAAATGCTGCCCAATCAGGTGGCTTTTAAGCTAGTTCCTGTGTAACCCGGATATAAGAGAGTTGTCGGGACCGGAGAAGTCTCTTATATCCGGGTTTCTCTTATATCCGAGTTTGGTCTATTTTGTTTAGGTTAAGTATGGGAACACTTTGGGACCAAAGAAAATCTCTCTTATATCCGGGTTTTTCTTATATCCGGGTCTCTTATATCCGGGTTACACTGTATATAATATTTTCCTTGACAAATCAGTAATCAGTTATTTCTTTTTTAATAAAATAATATAAAATAAAAAATAAAATATAAAAATAAAATAAAATAAAAATGAAATAAAATATAAAATAAAATAAAAATAAGATATAAAAAAAAAAAAAAAATAAAAAAAAAATAATATAAATAAAAAAAAAATAACATATAAAAAATAAAATAAATTATAAAAAAAAAAAAAAATATAAAAAATAAAATAAAATATAAAAAAATAAAATAAATTAAAAAATAAAACAAAATATTTTAATATATCATAATAAAATAAAATTTCCTGGGTGTGGAATTATTATTATTTACATGCAAACTATTTAACTCATTTTCAAATTTTCCTCATCTTCCTCACCATCACAAGATGAAGCCACCTCTTCTCTCCCCAGCTATGGGTTAATTAGTAAGACTTGCATCACTAACTCATTATTATCTATCCCCCACTCTGAAAGAATTTTTATAATCTAAAAGTATTTTCTGGCAAAGGGTTGATAAGACGTAAAAAATGAACAAGTCAATCAACTAACACAGACATAAGCATATGCACAATATGCATGTATGCAAAGTCACACACAGTCAAAGCATGACGGACAGAGAAGCAGCCTGTGTTTTAGGAGATAGATTATTATTATATGCAATGAAAAATGGCTTTACATATGTTGTGAAGAAATACAAAAAAACCCTGCCTTTTTGAAGGTCGACATTAAAAGAAAGAAACTTAACAGGAAGTGGAAAAATGAAGAAATGCCAGAGGCTTACAAGACTTACCTACCGAGAATATAAATAAAAATTAGGTGATGAATGCAAGGTGAGGTGAGGAGGTGGAGGAGAAGATGAGTGTACAGGGGACGGTGAGATGCCAGAGGTGGGGGTGACAATTAGAATGGATACATTCCAATTGATCATGACTCGTCATCTTGTTCTGTTGAGTTTGAAAAGCAAGTCACACTCTACATACGTATGTCATTGTCATTTGCTTTCACTCAAGTGTTTATGATTGCACATTTAAGACAAACGCACACATCAGTCTGTCTGACTGCTTGTATCTAGCTAGTTCAGTCTGCTCAGATCTATCTATATCAGTCTGTTCATATCTATTTGAGTCTGATCATATAAATCTATCTATCTGTTTATTTCAGTCTGTTCATATCTATCTATCTATTTCAGTCTGTTCATATCTATCTATCTATTTCAGTCTGTTCATATCTATCTATCTATCTATCTATCTATCTATTTGAGTCTGTTCATATCTATCTATCTATCTATCTATCTATCTATCTATTTGAGTCTGTTCATATCTATCTATCTATCTATCTATCTATCTATCTATCTATCTATCTATCTATCTATCTAGCAGTCTGTTCATATCTATCCCTCTATCTATCTATTTCTGTCTGTTTCACTCTATCTATCTCAGTCTGTTTCTATCTATATATCTGGTGGAGAAAAGGATGGGGAAGAGATGAGTGCATAGGTGACTGACGGACAGCGGGTGTCGGGGTTAATAGGGGGGGTGACAACTAGAAAGGATACGTTCCAACTGATCGCGACTCTGTCATCTTGTTCTGCTGAGATTGAAAAACAAATCACACACACTATATATATATATATATATATATATATATATATATATATATATATATATATATATCATTGTTACAAATATTGCTCTCTCGACTGTTTTATGTCTTTTTTTAATTTTATTCAAAAAATATTTTAAAAATCCAATTTAGATTTTAAATCTGATTTTTAAAACATTTTTGCCCATGAAGGAAGCAACAAGAAAGAGAAAAACTGATACAAATCCTTTGAGAAATTAAGAGGGACAGTAGGTAGGATAATTTAGGGTTGCCAAATTGATAAATTTTGGTTATATCTGGCTGACTTTTTCCCAGTTTAGTTGATAAAAATCTACATTTAATTTTTACCATTCTTTATGTTGTCCTGGGTAAGACGATAAACTATGTCCAGCAGCAGGGCCCCTGATCAGGAGGTTTTGAGGAGTGTGGAACCACCTCTTAACTGCTGGTGTTCCCAGGTCCACCCTGACCTGGGGTGGTAGCACCTGTTAGGGTTCCAGCTATGGGCAAATAATTAACACTCAGATTAGATTCGTGTCCTGGGTATGACGATAAACTTCATCCGCGTCCTGGATATGACGATAAACTACATCCAACAGCAAGGCCTCTGATGATACGTTTTTTAAAAAATAATTTTTTAGTTGCCAGCTGTACGTTTTTTTTAAAAAAAAATAATATTACTAGCTATACATTTTTGAGAAAAAAAATATTAACAGAAATGGATTTTTGACAAAACAAAAATATTACCAGGAAAAAAAAAAGTTGTCGGCATTAAATGACCCATTGAGGTTGATATGCCGTAAAACAAAACCAAACAAAACAAAACAAAGCAAACAATTTTTTATGGCAGGCATGGGCAACATTTTCTAACTAGTGGGCTGTATGCAATATGGCTCATCATAAAATGGGCCGCACTAATAAAAAATAAAAAATTCAAAGTAATTTTTTGTTGAAAGTCAAGCGGCCATTTTCACCCCCGAAGAACATACATGTACCAATCTGTCTTAGAAATGGGGGAAGAGGGTGGAATCTTTTACTTGGAGAAAATATTTTTCCACAATTTAAAAATTGAAGATTTCGTATAATATTATCACTGAAAACACTGTGACTAACACATGCTACCCCACGTGATTTGTTTTTAATTCATTCATTTGAAAATCCCAAAAAATATCTCTTTATAAGAAAAAAAAAAAATTTTCTTCTGAAGAAAAATTAATATGAATGTTTCTCATTTCTAAAGCAAAATATTTTTACACATATGGTCTTCTTTAATGAAAATTGCCATTGTTCTAAATATTGCTGAGAATGTTACGTTAAATGCAAGGTTACAAAATTCAAGAAACATTGTTATTACTGATGACACTGATTAACACATGCTGTTGCGTGTAATTTGTTTCTAATTTATTCATTTGAAAATACTTTAAAAAAAAAAAAAAGAAAAAGTATTTATTTTCCAGTGAGGGGAATTAACAGGAGATAACTGATAACTGACATCAATTAGACATGACACGTGGAACTAGAACAGTCTACCCCAGTGAGTGAAATAAAGCGTTCAGTTCGACATTCCAACAACCTGAAGAAGGCCAGAACGTACAATGACCGAAACGTTGTAATAAATATGGCGATAAAGATGAGGACAATAGTCCGAATAATGTAAATAGTGTACATAATACCGCATCTCAGAAATATAGATAGATACTGAAGGTTTGTAATAAATATGGCGACAAAGATGAGGACAATAATCCGAATAATGTAAAGAGTGTACATAATACCTCATCTCAGAAATATAGACAGATACTTAAGGTTCATTGTTGTAATAAATATGGCGACAAAGATGAGGACAATAGTCCGAATAATGTAAATAGTGTACATAACACCTCATCTCAGAAATATAGACAGATACTGAAAGGCCGAAATGTAATAAATATGGAGACAAAGATGAGGATAATAGTCTGAATAATGTAAATAGTGTACATAATACCGCATCTCAGAAATATAGACAGATACTGAAACAAAATAATTTGAACATTTCTTGTTTCTAAAGCTAAATAATTTTACATGTATATGATCTTCCTTAATGAAAATTGCCAATGGTTTAAAATGCTGACAACGTTCCTTTCAATGAAAGGTTAAAAATTCATGAAAAATCAGACTTTGTCATTATTGTGTGTGTGTGTGTGTGTGGTTTAGTTGAATTCAGCCTAGAACACAACATGCATTAATAAGGACGGTTACTCGGGTAATTAATAGTTCTTTCTTTTTAATACAAGCTTCTCTCAACCTCTTCGTGTGAGAGAAAATATGAGTGAACAAGTGAGAATGAAACAAAATGAAAAATTTTAATAAACATTATTTTCATTATTAAATTAGGTGTGCCATCCAGAAGGCAAAAGAAACAGACTGTTTGTGGCCTGCGGGCGACAGTTTGGCTGTTTTATGGTTTGGGGCACATTTACATTCAACTTACAGTTTTGTTTCTGTTGTTTTTTAATTGTAATGAATATGCATATACCTGGGTTCCTCCTCACGGTAATATGATTCGCTGGTGTCAGCCATAAATACAGACTGATATGGAGGTACAGGGAGGATACCTATTGGCTACACCTATTGTCTTCGCCTATTGGCTACCACTACGACGAGGACCAGTCCATTACGGTTACCTGCTAGATTGTTCTACCTGGTTACAGTAGTCCAAAACCACTTTGCTACTTTGAAGAAATATATCCCTTTCTGGGACATATCATTTTTATTTCAGATAAGGTCTATTTTATTCTTACAGTATTTTAAAATAATTTAACAGACTGGAATGCTGATCATCAGCCATATTGGATTGATTTGTACATAAATAATCTTGCAATTTTTTTTTATTAGTAATTTGTTAGCAACACTCCAACCAGTGTTGTTTTTTTTAAAACTTTTCAATTCAAGTCTGTATTGTTTTTTAGCTTTCAATTTTGAAAGTGTATTTATTGTACAGTGATATACTTTCTGTGGTTAAGCAACTCCTGTCAGCAGTGGCCCCATCTTCTGGTGTTGGACGAGTTTTCATTGCTGCATCCCAAACTAAAAAACCGTCTTGGCAGATAAAGCAGAAAAAAATTGGCTTTTTAGTTTAAATCCATGAATGCAAACACTGCTTATGTTAAATTTCAAAATTTGTTTAATGTTTAAAATTTTATTTTATAGTTAAGAAAAAAAAAAAATTGGTTGATTAATAAATATTTGATTAAATATTTTTAACACTTTTTTCTTTCTTCATGAAATTACATGAAAATGAAAAAAAAAAGTTTTATTTCTAAATATTTGCTTTATATAATGATTTTTGTAAAATTGATTTATTTTAAATCAATGATTTAAATTAGTTTGATTTAAATCAAACAACCCTCTCTAGGACAGTGTTTCTGATGTAATGAAATAACCAGGCACCCCCATGAACGATTACACTATAGGTAGTAAGTAACTATAAAGTCAACTATCTACAAGAGACTGGGAGAGAGTGAGAGAGAGAAGATGCAAGCACATCAGACCTTCCACTAGAATGACCTGTGTGTATAACTGTACCATATTTCATATTGTACTTGTTGTGTACAATAAACCTTTCTTCTAGTATCCACCTGGTGTTACTTATTTATTCCCTTAGCACGGAATATAACAGTTCTTACGAGGATTGTTGGGACATAACAGTTTCTAAGTTTTTTTTTTCACTTGTGTAGAATATCTAAAACTCTGGAATACACTTTAAATTTTAAAAAGGAAGAATCAGTAATGAAAGTTTGGTTTAGCACCCCAAAAAAGATTAGCGGTACAATTTTAATTTAAGGGAAGAATCGGCTTTTTTAGTGTTTTTTTAGTGGTCAATAATGACTGAGGAAGGCAAAAGGAAAAGGTTTGGTTTGGTTTGTTTTACGGTATATCAACCTCAATGGGTTATTTAATGCCAACGGGATTTTTATTGCTGGCAATATTTTTTAAAAATTCATTTCTGGTAATAAGATTTTACAAAAAAATTATTGCTGGTTTTAAAACCTTTCATAGTGTTTTGAGCCCAGTTTAGGGGTTAATTATTTGCCCATAGCTGGGAACCTAACGGGTGTTTCCAGGTCGGGGTGGACCTGGGAATACCAGCAATTAAGAGGTGGTTCCACGCTCCTCAAAACCTCCTGATCAGAGGCCTTGCTGCTGAACATAGTTTATCATCTTACCCAGGATGTGGATGTAGTTTATCGTCTTACCCAGGACGGGCAAAAAGAAAAGGATTATCCACTTCTTCTTAAAGATTAAGGAATTCAGCATTCAGTTTAAGATATCAAATGACAATGTTTTGACGTAATCAGAGAAGCTATGTTTTTTTTTTAAAAAAAAAAAAAAAAAAAAAATTAATAAATTACTTTTCTGTTAACTTGGGGTGCAACTGGCTACTTTTCAGGATGCATTAGTGCGCCTGGGTGCACCAGTTGAGAAACGCTGGTCTAGGAAGTGGATATTCTAATAAAATTCTCAATCTTGCGATATAGTAATAATAATAAATGTGCTGTTTTGTCTGTCCCTTAGACAGTGTTAACAGCTGCGCTAAAGTTAATTGCGGTGAAAAAGAGTCCAGGGCAAGCAGACATCACAATAGAAGTACAACTGTCCATTTTACTCAGTTTACTTCTGTGTGTTAATAATAAGCCTGATCAGGTTCGATAAAGTCAAATTGGCAGCTGACCTCAAAAATGACCTTAAATGAAGCATGGAGTATCTTGTTAATTGTAACACTCCCCAAAATGAAACTACTCTCATTTAATTCCTCTGAGAGAACCCTTTTGACCTTCCATCTAGATTTTATGTTTTTTAAGTGCAGTACGAGATTAGCAGCAAGTTCTCATCGTTTTACACTTGAAATGGCTAGATGTAACCGTA